AACCTTATGGGTCTCTTTCACGGTGCCTTCACTTGCAGGAGCGGGAGTTTCAGGCGGTTGAGGTGACTGATCATCTCCGATATTCACCGGAATCTCAACGTTAGTAACGTTTTCTTCGACGGGAATGGACAAAGTGAGATCTTGTGTTTCTTGATCTTGTGTCTCTGTCTCGGTTGTAATAGTTGGATCTCCTTCGGTTACGGTTATTTTGATTGTCTCTTCAACTACTTTCTTCTTCTTCGTCACCGAAACTACTTTCTTTGGTTTTCTTGGTGCCATTAGAATGTGTTTCGCAAGTAAACCCGTAAAATGTTTAAAGGTGGTTAAATATGAAAATGGTTATTTGGGATTTGGGGTAAGGGTAATTCTTGGATTGACATGTGGGGACACGTGTCTTTCCATTACGTTTGCGTTGGTGCTTAACTGCCTTCGTGGTGGTGGTTGTAAAAAAGTAAACAATATACCCTTGAAACATAATTTTACAATGTATTTTCTTTTAAATAATTCAGATTTTTTTAAAAGAGAGATGCTACATAATCCTGCTTAGTTTTATATTCAATAACGACAAAAAAAGTTTTATATTCAATAAAAACAACGAAAATAGTTGGGATGTCTTGTTCTGAATCATATATCTCTTAACAAAATTTTTTAATAAAATGTTTAAACCTAAAAGTATAGAGATGAAAAATTTACATAACTTCAATAGTTCTGTTTTGTATATACAGAGACAAAATCATTTAATATTTTATTTAAAAAAATAATCTAACTAAACAATCTAAACGATTATAAAATAGAACACTGAAAAAAAGGAAAAGTTAAAAAAACTCTGAAACATCGCCTATAAAAAAAGTCATTTCTTTTTGAATCACTGTTTGATGGTCTAACCCGGAGATTTAATTAGCTAACTCTAGCACCTAAGATTAGATGGTTAACTATATCTTAATTCACCTACTAAATTTTTTTTTTTTCCCTAAACAAACTTCCATCTCTGGTATACCTATTTTTTATTGCTAAATCTTAGAAACAAAAATATATACAATATTTTGAGAGATGAGAATCAAATTATAACAAGACAAAAATAATACTGATATATGTGCAAAAATTCTGTACACAAACGGAGTTGAATTCCCATATAACACACACGAAAGACTATAAAAGCGATCGAAAATAACGTCTAAGCGAACGACACTACACCTACACAATCAAATTTGAGTTTGGATGAAAAAGAAGAGATATAAATCAAAAGGTTTCAGGCGCTATTACTTCTCCGTTTCTTACGGACATGGTTTGGATTGTGAACAAAGAAAGTCTCTACCTCGTGGCTTCCGACTTCAGTGGCTTCGAAGAACCCAAGATCTTTGGACAATCTTGTCTTCTTTGTCAGAGGAATCTCACGTGGTCGCTTTCTTGGTGCCGGAGGACAAGTCTCTACCTCCGGAATCTTGTGATCACTTGAAGTTGGTGTACACAGAGAGCCTAACGAC